ACTCGACTTGGACTCGTGTTTTGGGACTCGTGAACAATCATTGTGTTTTCTATTTTTGACGTATTAAAGGTGGGGTAGGTAATTTTGAGAAACCGGCTCGAGTGCGCTAGAATTTGAAAATACACAACCGGAGAAAATCTGCCACTTCCTTACAGAGCCCCTCCTCCAACACACACGAACGCGCACATGACCAATGAGGGCACGAGATAAGTTTGTGCCCCGATGGAAGGCTGACAGGCAGGTAGGCCATCCAGTTACTTTAGCCGGGCCGGCTAAAATAATTGGTCGTGCTTTTTACAGTATTACGGCTTCCACAGATTTTTTGTCAAAGCACTTATGGACGGTTAGCAAACATGTTTAGCTCAGCTTCAGCTATGTAATGTTAACTTAGCTTGCTACTAGCTTTGTAACTGAATATTTGAAAAGATGAGTGAATGTTTGCTTGTCACACTTGTTTGCGTTGAGTGGCGTTGACATCCAACTCTTGACATGACATAAAAAAGGTCGGTAACGTTAATCATTACGTTCCGCTGCCACCATCTACTGGCTAACGTTAAACGTAGAAAAATACATAGTTACATACATAAATACATCTGTCGGTTTATAGGCAGGTTACAGGTTTATTGTTGACCACGTAACGTTAATGTTACAGGTTTATCAGGTTACCATTACACTGGGTTTGAGTGAGAGGATAGAGGAATATATTTATTTATAGTAGACTTAAAAGATGTCATTATAGACCCAGTGTAATTAAACAATACGGTTGCAGAGGTCACATTTTAACATTTTTGTCCACTGGCCAAATGGCTAGCCTAGTGAATGTTGAAATGTTACCAGCCACTCAATAGATTGCCATTGTTATTTTTGGCTGGTGCGTGCAACATACAGTACCAGCCACTTGCATGATTTACCAGCATTTAGCTGGTAAATGGTGTTAATGGTAGATATCTCTTTTGGAACAGGTCATGTTTTAATATCACCAGTTCAGTATATTTCAGATAATATTGCAGCAATAGTTTTTTAGTTACAAATGGCACAGAACAAATGTTTACTTTTAAGTACTTTTAACACAGTTTCCCTGCGGGGGATTAATAAAGTATTTGTGATACTGATTTCTGATTCTGAAGTGTTTTGCTTATAAGTTGTTTGCATTTAGCTAAAGTGTGATGTTTTTCCTCATATTGCATTGCAATAGCCTGTTTAAAGTGATCATATAACAAACAACTAATCAGTACTGATACTGTATGCTAATAGATATAGGAGTGATAATAATACAGTAAATGCTTTGAATGTCTTAGATATAGCTGTGCAGTATTCTTAACAGACTGGATAGCAGCAGACAATAGAAGGCTTATTACAACCAGAAGAGACATGAGACTTTTATTTTTTAGAGACTTGAGACTTGACTTGGACTCGTGACCAAAGACTTGAGACTTGATCAAGTCTCACCCCACAAAGACTTGAGACTTGACTTGGACTCGTGACCAAAGACTTGAGACTTGACTTGGACTTGCAAAAAAAGACTTGTGAACATCTCTGACCTGACCGGTCTCCACGCTGTGTGTGTCCGTCAGGAAACACCCTGTTAACAAGTAGTTCCAGCAAACATCCACTGATAAACTGCGATGTTAACAACCTCATGATAACCTCATATGTTTTAACTTAGGATCATACCTGTGTTTAGTCTAGAAAAAGGTAAATGTGTGCATTTTATTATACAGTTGTGTATATTTACAGACTGTTGCAAAAACTAAGAAGCTTATAAACATCAGGTTTAAAACTAAAAGAGTTTTGAAACACAATGAAAGATGTTTGGAGTTTTATTTCAGTTATACATTTACATTTTTTGTCTAAGAGACGCTGATTTCAAACCGTTGTTACATACAGGCCGTTTCTCAATCGCGAGGATGCTTGCTTGGTAGTCGCGTACTTCCAAGTCACTTCCTTCAGAAACGAAGCCAGTATACTTCCAAGCCACGGCTTCGGAAAACGAAGAAGAATGGAACAGACTAACAAGTGTGCCACTCTCTCTAGTCTCTAACAGTTTCAACATAAACCGTACCGAAAATAAATACCTCACGATGTCTATCTAATTATGAACTTGCTTTACTTTCACGGAACACACTTTTGGTGATAACAAACAAATGTAACAAAGTCACATATTTACCACTACATACTTACATTTAAATGTGTGCTGCGTTGGTTCAGCCATTCTCCACAAGGGTTTTTGAAATTGATCCGTGCGCAAAGCATTGTGGGGATTTTAAGGACGCGAAGTCTACCGATGTGCAGCCTCAAAACTTCCCCCAAACCAAGGACGCGGCCTTGGTGGAATTCCAAGTATGCTGGAGATTGGAACAGTCCTTTGGCGGCACTCAATGACGTAGTATCCTTGAAATATTGACTTGGAAGCCAGTATCCTCGAGATTGAGAAACGGCCACAGTTACGGCATTTCCTGTTTCTGCCGGAGAGAGGGGAGGCCGTCCCAAAGCTTGCTGCTGTATTTACTCCCTCCATCTGACAGGAGGGAGCCTCATTGAGCTGCGAGTGTGGCTACAGACGGAGTTCACTCCGTCACAGAGGGGTAGGGTCGAGGGAGTGGTTTGGGATTGGGCCCACATGTGTTTAAAAAGCAGGAAATAAAAAAAGGAACTCACCTTGTGATAAACCCACAAGAGAAAAAGCATTTGAGCTCCATACTGTTTCAGAAATAATCTTTGATGTGGTTTAGAACAGGATGGCGTTTTATCACAGCAGAATTTAACTTTATCTCCGGTAGAATTCTGATCAGGCATTATCTCCGCCTCCTCTTTTCTTTTTTTTTCAAGCTAAGGACCCAAAAACCGCGTTTCTCTAACAGGGCTGCAAAAGAGGGGTATGAACAGTTTGAGGCATGGCTACAATGGGTGAACTGTTTGGTATTTTAAGCAAAAAACTTCACAGACATGTTTTGTATAGGTATGGCCCTACAATATATTTTTCCAATATAGCATGATAGGTCCACTTTAAGTCAGGGTTGCCAACTCTCACGCATCTGGCGTGTGACACACGCTTTCACTCTCAATCTCACGCTCTCACGCTGTCCAAACTATTCTCACGCCAAAAAACAAGAATACCGAAGACTAGAAACGGTTTTGAAAACTTTTGTCACGTAGTGATCGTCTTCTCTAAAGAACATCTTTGATAATGTCTTCTGGCCAATCAGAATCAAGATAACGGCGTGGTGTTGTTGCAGGAAGTCCCGACGGAGAATACTTTTGCTGTAGTACATCTCTATACGTCGATACAACATTACGTGTTGATAGAAATCAACACGTAATGAAATAAGACCCCACGGTTTGATGAGTGATAGGTGTGTGGTCTGTCTTTCATTTTGACACACAGAACAATGGGGACTATCCACCCTTATCCACAATGTAAAGTAATTCACAGCCTCTCCCTCTTCTCTCTGTGAGGAGCAGCAGGTTCAGCTTTCAGAACAAAGTAACAAAAAACTAAAATGGCATTCATTTTTTTAAACATGTCGTGTATTAATAGATGTATTTATTTGTCTTCTCAAGAGAGTACCAGAATGTGTATTTTATGTTAGTATTTCAAAAAATCTCCTGGGGGAGAATCTCCCCAGACCCCCCTGCAGGGGTTGGGTTTTCAGCATGTCAACTCTTTCACCTGTGGGTAAATTGCAGGATTGGCTCCAGGTCGCCCTTTTTATTTACTACAAAACAAATGTGCCTTTTTATTTCATACAGTTCAATTTGGATTGAGACAGGGAAATAATCTAAACCTCACGCGTGGCGTTTCACTGTCAAGGGTTAGCCCTACCATAGATTACCCAACAAAAATACTCTCTCGCAACTGCCGACCCGTATTGCGCAAGCGCAGATCTAAGATCCAGTAGAAATGATAAAAAAGTAAAAGTCTGCTGCTTATTGTTCTACTAGGCCAAAATAGAGTGTGTTAATTAATATGTTTGGCAGTTTGGAGTAAGTCTGTAGATTTGTTTGTGTGTGTGTTTCATGTATAGGCCTCTCACGATAATTAATTTTGTTGGATACATTTTCCCGGAGATTATTGCGATAAACGATAATATTGTCGGCACCATTGTATGACCATTTTAGACCACTGACATAATGATAATATATAATAATAATGCAAGTACATCCTTTCAAACTGCTAGTCACATCCTCATGTAAATGGAAATGTATCGAGTTATTTTTTATTTATCGTACGATAAGTCAATTAATTGCTTATCAGGCACACAATAAAACAGTGAAACAAACATGTGTTTGACTTTCATTAGTGAATGAAACTTTGTGCCCTTTATAGTCTGTGTCCAATATTGTGTATTTGTATATATTGTATATATATATCCTATATATATGCTAAGGTCCCGCTGCTGACACGACAGCAGTCATTTCGTGCTCACATGTGTAATTAAACCCATGATATCAAAATCTCACTCCAGCCAGGTACCCAAAGTTGGCAACCCTGCTTTAAGTGATACAGAAAATGCTTTATCTGTAGGCCTACACTTACTTTATTGATTTGGTATACATTAAAATGCCAGAACCTATGAAATAGTTGGGAGACATAAATGCAAGTTTTGGCGATATTTCTTTTTTTAATAAAACGGTAATCTTTTAGTTTATTAACGTATTCTTACTGACACTTATTTGAGCTCATACAGATAAACCTCCCTGAGGCAAACAACTCCGTCTAAACCTTCCGGATCATGTGAAATCCTCTGACTTCTTGAACCCAACTGTTGAAAAAATCACAGAATCCGGACCGGGTCCATGCAGGACGGCCCGCAGCAGGACCAGATTCCACAACAGAGGCTGTGAGCTGTTCCCCTCTTAAGCCTCTTAGCGGCTGTAAGTCTGCCCGCAGCCCCAAGGCTTTGATCAGGATCATCTAATCCTCCGTGGAAGAGGTCAGCTCGTCTTTGGCTCTCACAGGTTTGACACGCTGCCAGGCGTCCACAAACACGGAACCGACGGAAACCTTGGACAGCATGGAGGAGCTTCTTTTACCCAATGCGGAGGAGGAGACGCGCTCCGACCACAGCACGTATGTTACGGGAGACGCGGGAAGGACGATGGGGGACCGGGTGAAGACTGGCCTCAAGAAACCGCTGAACCTCCTAAATGCCGTGAAGGATTTCCTGGTGAGGAACGGGCTGCTGACACTGTCGGTGGTGGCCGTGGTCTGCGGCTGCACCATGGGCTTCCTGCTGAGGGGAACCCAGCTGTCCACACAGGTAGGACCACAGGCTGGGCGGGAGCCGTGTCTGCACCTCCCTTATTAATACTCCATTTTTAATGTCCAATTGAATATTTATTTTTAACTTTATATGGTTGTTCAATTATTTTATTTTAAGTTTTATCACACAACATGAAGGTTTGATAGTGACTCCTTCTCAAAACCTGAACCCTTACATTTTTGTTTGCTTTGGTTGAGGTTGTTAAATAGTTTTTATTAACTCAAATTAGCTAGTTTTATTATAGAAGCAAGTTTCAGTAAGTCTGCAGTTTGTTAATAGCTACCTTTTTTAAGACCGAGCTAAAAAGTATGCTTAGCAGCTGCACACTTTAAGCTTTAAATGAAGCAGCTGAAACTGCTAATGTGTGATTAACTTCCCCGGTCCTGTTGCTACACTATGAGCTAATGCTTCGATGCTTTTGGTCAGGTTTCCCTGATGGATGACAATTAGTTTACTGGCTAAATAAAAATAATTGGTTAGCAATTTAAACAGTTTATTTAAAGATGGCTTACTGCACATGTTAGCTTAAATGGTTTAATTCAGGTTAGCTTAGAAGAACATAACGTAAATTGTCCAGTCAAGCTCAAGCCTAAGCAGGGATCTAAATATGAAAAAGGGGGCTTTGTAAATGTTCTAAAATGCATTCAGCATGTTTTTCAGAGCTCAAGGATTCACACACTGGGTTTAAATATAAAGTCCTCTTTAAATTCACCCACTGCTTCTCTGATATCCCACATGTTGTTAGAGAGCATTACGACATCACCTTGTACATACCATTTGGCTTTTGATCAAAATAAATGAATAATAATTGCAATAGAAAAACAAGTTGTGTGATAAGACGACATGTAGTTGCGGCTCTAAAACCAGTACAAAAAAAATCAAGTAATGATACATTTAACAGACTTTCTATATTAATATAATAAGATTAAACTTTATTGTCATTGCGCAGAGTACAAGTACAAGACAACAATAAGCAGTAAGCATCAAAAGTACAGAAGAAGCAGTAAATTGCAATGATGTCTATTATCATATACATATATATATATACTATCGACAGATATTAACAAACTGAAGTATTTACACAAGCATAGGTATACACATTATAATCAGCAGTATAGAAAAGTAATACACTATAAAACAGGTATAAATAAAGACAGTATAAAGTGCTTATGTGTTTTCATTTTGTGTTTTTGCTTATGTGCTCTTGTATGTTCTTTTAAAGTCATCAACCTGCAGATGAAAATTAGCCTCTATGGTTAAATCTGGCACATTTACACTTCTTAAATAAATACATTCAAGTTCTATAGAAAGAATAGCATAGACAATATTGCTGTTTGGACAGTTTTATAAATACAGATAATAGGTACAACTCATATGCAAAAGACTCTAGGCTTGTAAATAGCATACCATGTATTATAAGTGAAAGTTATAAATAGTTCAGTTTCACTGGGAACTGTCTTTCAGCGGCTGAACGTAGAGACACAAACATGGAGGTCACATGATCACTTAGAGCAGGGGTGCCCAACCTTTTTTGAACCGAGAGCTACTTTTAAAGTTGCCAGTCTGCCGAGATCTACCAGTCCAAATAGAGAGGTAGCCATTACTGACAGCCTCCTACCAGGTAAATACACACTTCTACTTGTATAAAACTGACCTTTGTACGATGAATACTTCATAAAATACTGCAGATCCTTTATCTTACCTCTTTCTAATCTACACACATACAAGTATTTAACTGAAGTTATACAACAGTGTTGTTGATACAGAGTTGGAGTGTATTCACACGTCACATACTACAGTGGGTAATGTTTTCAAGAAACATTGAACAGTGCTGCCACATATGACACAGGGAAAAAAGAAAAGACCCTTTCTTTGCCATTATATACAAATAGTGTTGCTACAAAAGTATAAATGAGGCTTACTAATAAGACAACTCAGATCTGAAGCTACTCAGTAATCTGCTGCCAAAGTGCAATAAAAAAGACAACATTATTAGAATCAAACCCTTTTTTTGTTGCATTTTAGTAGAGTATAAAAATAAATGCCTTTAAAATAGGATGCAAGCAACACTAGTTTCTTAACCTGAATTGTACAATACTTATAATGAATAAGTTCAAACAAACTCAAACTTACAGCAGATTAATAACGGTATCTAACTTGAGTTTTTATTATATCAAAAACCTGTTGAAATGCTTCTGTTATTTTGACTGTCCCCAAAAAGCGCGTCAGCAGCCTCCAGGAATGCTTCTTTCACAACTTCGCCGTCTTTGAAAGACTTCATGTGTTTCGCAAGAACGTGACTGACACGATAAGATGCTATGGTAGTAGCCTTGCTCTTGTTGTTGGGCCTGGTGAAAATGGACTGCTGTGCATTTAGCTGTCCTTTCAGGCCCCTCCCCTTTTGGGAGCGTAGGGCAGAATTAGGAGGGAATTCCGTCTCGTAGCGTTTGTGCACTGTTTGGAAATGCTGCTCCTAAATTACCCTTCTTTGATAAAGCCACGCTCGCATTGCAGATGAGACAGATGGACTTTGAATTGGAATAGACACAAAAATAATCATCCTCCCACTCGGAGTGAAAATTATATATTTTGGGCTTTTTTGCTTCAACGTGAACTTCATCATGACACAAGAGAGGACGGTAGGACTGTAATTTCCTGTGTTCAGTGAATGCAACAGAGGCATGACACCAGACCAATCAGAGAGTTGCATGGAAATAAACATGTGCTTGTGTCATTCAAGCTCGGCTTAAAATATTTAATCGCGATTAATCGCATGATTGTCCATAGTTAATCGCAAATTAATCGCACATATTTTATCTGTTCTAAATGTACCTTAGAGGGATATTTTTCAAGTTTTTAATACTCTTATCAACATATGAGTGGACAAATATGCTTTATGCAAATGTTATTATCATTTGAACAATGACAAATATTTTCATGAATATTAAACACAACAACCTCTGAACATTACAAATATTCGCCTCAATTCAACCTGGAACCTCTCATACAATAATACAATACAAATGGTGTGTGTGTGTGTGTGTGTGTGTGTGTGTGTGTGATGGATCGTTGGAGCTATGTGCAACTCAAGGCATATGCTCGAACGGGAGCTGCCTGGACGCTGCAATCATGTTGCGCGCACTATCCGTGCTGAGTGTGCTGACTTTTCGTACAATGTCCCACTGTCTGGCTTCCTGCATAAAGTCAAGTGCTCGGCGCAGTTGTCGGCGAAATGTCGCTCCTCTGTTTTCATTTAAACAGCTCCTTATATCCGTTAGCGCAGCTAGCTAGCACCAGATGCTAACAACAACAATACACGTACGGTCTCTCTCTCGCTCGCTCGAGCCACACATACACACACCCTCCCGGTCCTCCCGATGGCCAGTCGGTACCTGCTGCCGGTGAGCGTGGAAGTGTGGTCTGCCGCAAGCGGACGGCAGGAGCGGGGCTGTCAGCATCAGCTTGTAGATGGTATTTTAAAGTCGATCGAAAAACCATCCTTAGCAACGGCTACTTACAAATATTTTAATTTTTTAATTTTAATTTTTTACAAACTCCTCCAGATCCTGCCTACCAAACTTACCTAACTATCTTCTGGGGCGTGCCGGGCTCGAGGCGACTTTAAAAAGGCAATCATCAGCGGCCGAAACCCTGAAACGCCTGCCTCCAACAGGGAAGAAATCCCCACCCAGGATTATCCCGAAAATAAAAAAGGCAAAATAAAAAATGAGTGCCTGAAAGAAGGACTCATTCAGCCCAGCTAGACACTCCCCTATCTAAACTGAGGAAGCTTTTAAACCACAATGTTTTATTTTATTTTAAATGTAAACAGCCAATGCTTCCAAACACAATATCAACGCTAAACCACAAACAGATACTCACTCTTTGTCTCAGAATCTCGGACGAGCCCCCATTTGTTACGTTCCCTCCAAGTCTAGGGGTACCAAGGGGAGTAACAAAACACAAGGATGACCAAGCACGACAAAAAAGAGAGAGAACCGATCTCTGAAGTAACAAACAGGTCGTTTAATGAACAAGACAGGAACACAGGCTCACCAGCCAACTTGCACAGAATACTAAATAATCAATATGTCTAGGAGCACATCTATCAATCGGCAAGACACAGTTTTGTACACATGCAGCCAGAGGAGGAAAAAGGAGGCCTCACTGCAGTCTTCCTCCGGTCCTATATGGAGGCCCTGATTTGGAATTAGGAGCACCTGGGGACAATCAGCCTGCACCTGGGGAGAGGCTGCACCTGGGGACAATCAGGCTGCACCTGGGGAGTCAGAAGGAGAGAGAGAAAGACACACACACACCCACACAAACACTACGGCACGTAACAATAGCTATTCATGTTTTTATTTTATATTTTTAATATGGCTTTGGTGCTTTGTTTATATACAGTGGGGCAAAAAAGTATTTAGTCAGCCACCAATTGTGCAAGTTCTCCCACTTAAAAAGATGAGAGGCCTGTAATTTTCATCCTAGGTATACCTCAACTATGAGAGACAGAATGAGAAGGAAAAAAAAAAAATCCAGAAAATCACATTGTCTGATTTTTAAAGAATTTATTTGCAAATTATGGTGGAAAATAGGTATTTGGTCAATAAGTTATATACCCTTTGTTGGCAATGACAGAGGTCAAACGTTTTCTGTAAGTCTTCACAAGGTTTTTACACACTGTTGCTGGTATTTTGGCCCATTCCTCCATGCAGATCTCCTCTAGAGCAGTGATGTTTTGGGGCTGTCGCTGGGCAACACAGACTTTCAACTCCCTCCAAAGATTTTCTATGGGGTTGAGATCTGGAGACTGGCTAGGCCACTTCAGGACCTTGAAATGCTTCTTACGAAGCCACTCCTTCGTTGCCCGGGCGGTGTGTTTGGGATCATTGTCATGCTGAAAGACCCAGCCACGTTTCATCTTCAATGCCCTTGCTGATGGAAGGAGGTTGTCACTCAAAATCTCACGATACATGGTCCCATTCATTCTTTCCTTTACACGGATCAGTCGTCCTGGTCCCTTTGCAGAGAAACAGCCCCAAAGCATGATGTTTCCACCCCCATGTTTCACAGTAGGTATGGTGTTCTTTGGATGCAACTCAGCATTCTTTCTCCTCCAAACACGTCTAGTTGAGTTTTTACCAAAAAGTTCTATTTTGGTTTCATCTGACCATATGACATTCTCCCAATCCTCTTCTGGATCATCTAAATGCTCTCTAGCAAACTTCAGACGGGCCTGGACATGTACTGGCTTAAGCAGGGGGACACGTCTGGCACTGCAGGATTTGAGTCCCTGGTGGCGTAGTGTGTTACTGATGGTAGCCTTTGTTACTTTGGTCCCAGCTCTCTGCAGGTCATTGACTAGGTCCCCCCGTGTGGTTCTGGGATTTTTGCTCACCGTTCTTGTGATCATTTTGACCCCACGGGGTGAGATCTTGCGTGGAGCCCCAGATCGAGGGAGATTATCAGTGGTCTTGTATGTCTTCCATTTTCTAATAATTGCTCCCACAGTTGATTTCTTCACACCAAGCTGCTTACCTATTGCAGATTCAGTCTTCCCAGCCTGGTGCAGGTCTACAATTTTGTTTCTGGTGTCCTTTGACAGCTCTTTGGTCTTGGCCATAGTGGAGTTTGGAGTGTGACTGTTTGAGGTTGTGGACAGGTGTCTTTTATACTGATAACGAGTTCAAACAGGTGCCATTAATACAGTTAATGAGTGGAGGACAGAGGAGGCTCTTAAAGAAGAAGTTACAGGTCTGTGAGAGCCAGACATCTTGTTTGTTTGTAGGTGACCAAATACTTATTTTACCGAGGAATTTACCAATTAATTCATTACAAATCCTACAATGTGATTTCCTGGATTCTTTCCCCCCAATCTGTCTCTCATAGTTGAAGTGTACCTAGGATGAAAATTACAGGCCTCTCTCATCTTTTTAAGTGGGAGAACTTGCACAATTGGTGGCTGACTAAATACTTTTTTGCCCCACTGTATATATATATACGTTGAACAATCCTTTGAGTCTGAAATATAAAAAGCTATATTCAGAAACTGTGTCCATGAGAACAGTTATGTGTTTGTGAGCATCGAGTGTTACTGCGCAGCACAGATTGATCTATTGGAAGCTGTGTTACAGGCGGGAGGGCTATAACTCTATGAAGCACTTTACTGTATTTATTATTCAACAAGCATTGACAAAAAGTATGCTTTGATTTAGAAATGTTTGATGGTGATGTGTTTTATCATGACAGGCGAAGATCTACTTCTCTTTCCCTGGAGAGCTGCTGATGAGGATGTTGAAGATGCTCATCCTTCCTCTCATCACATCCAGGTAGCTTCTAATATATTACTCACACACCAGTACCAACAAGTCCTCCAACTCATACGACCAAATGGGCCGATTGTTCAGGCCCTTATTACGACCAAATGTGTCGTTTGTTCAAGCGCTTAATACGTCCTATAATTACGTTTTAAAGTTTTCGCCCTCTAGTGCTCCCGTTGAATGCTAACGTTACAGATGGTCGTTTATTCACAAATAACCCTCTCTGTAAAATCCTAAATTGTAGGATAGTTTGGCCATTAAAACGCTTTTTGATTCGATTTCTAGCGAGAAGTGTATATTGTACTTTTAGAATCCACGTCCAGTCGATATGTAGGATCTATAGTTTGATAGATGTTACGAAGATGATTTGAGGTATGCGGCAGCCTCCATGTAAAGTTACGGGTTGAAAACAGTATTTCCGGTCTCTACGTTTTCATAATAAAACCAATGATCAAATGATTTAACAGTGATATCTGCAGTACTCATCCACTAAAAAACATCAGTTTATCCTTGTTAATTATACGACATGTATTGGTTTAAATTGTGTACAATGTTTTTCCCATAGGTTTTTCTCTTTCGATTCTGAGAGACACCTTTCTTTTTTCAGAGGTTTTGATAGGCTAAAATCACGCCGCAATGCACGTCGGGATATGGTGTAAATGCGATATGAAATCGAAAAACATTTAAAAAAATAAAATAATACTTTATTCCGAGTTTGCTTGCTTTTCTCTTTGGAGGTCATCACATAACGGCATTGTAATACACGGTTCGGCTGCATTAAATATTACATATCTGCCGTAGTTCGCTATTTATAGAGCCCTGATGAAAAGACTTAAAGACAAACTGGAAGAAGTGCCGCCGAAACTGAATATGTGGCGTGATCATAAATATATCAGCAATTAAACAACATCTTACATTTATTTTCACAAAATACGTCTCCTTGCAGTATCAACATTAATTATAACATTTATATTTGATCCAATTGGTTATATTTACACCATAACGGTGCACAGCTGATAGAAAAGGACACCTAGTCGTTAAAAAACGTTATTGCATTTTTTTGTTGAAATTATGTTATATTTGATGAAAAAAATATTAAGAGTACATACTTTCATAGGGGGAAAGTAGAAGGTCAATGATAGAAACATATAGAATAGAAAATATCAAGAAGATACTGTAAGTGATCTCTACAATAAAACAGTTTAGTGCTGGATGTACAAATATATTAACAGGAGGATGTGCAAAACAGACCAACTAATAAGGCTTTATTTAAACATTAAAGAATACTTTAAGTTAAGGTCTTCTTTTGAATAAGAATTTTTTTTAGGGTTATCCACAGATAAATATGAAGTCTGACAAAGTACTTAACGTCCAATATATTGCAGTTTCTTTTGGCATTTGACAATCACCTTCCCTGAATTTGACTCAGGTGTAACTAAAGTCTGATTTAAGGGTTGTTTATATTTCACATCATTAATCAGAATCTGAAAAGTAACTAAAATAAATGTAGTGGAGTAAAAATACCAGGTTAACCTCTGAATTGTAGAACAAAGTAGTATGCTGCTGTAACAAAAACATTTCCCAACTTGGGATCAATAAAGTATATCTTATCTTAAGATGATCGATGGCTACTGCCATATTTGCAAAATGTGCCTCTGAACCTTGACAAGTGCATGTTTCAGGCTTATCAATGAACAACAGGAGGGGTCACAGACATAAGACCAACTGTTAAATAAAGCTCTTCTGACCTTAGCTGTCATGTGGGTATATATTAATGCTGCCCATTATGGACACAAGCAATTTTCACCCATTTATTAATTATGTGTTTTAAATGTGATAACACCAATGTGTTTCGTATCCCCCTAAACAAGTAAGCAGTAAACAAGCAACTTCTAATTCTGGGAAATACGAAAACGTCTTATAAAACTACAATTCACAGTAGAGACGTGCCATAGAACATGTTGCGAAACACACAATAGCCAGCATGTGTAGTTCTGGTGGGGGGGGGGCTGGGCTGGACCCGTCCAATTCCAGTTTTGGATAGACTGGCGTGGACCATTCCATTTCAAAGAGCCGTTTGACACTCGGCGTAACCTTGTCGCACTGCCACTCCAACATCCAATCACAGAGCTTGATGACTAATCACAGGGTTTGTAAAGCAAGGCGGATGTTGTAGTCCCAAACGATAGCTGGGGATTCTGGGTAGTGTAGTGTCTTCGGAAACTGTAGTGTCTAAACTCCTAAAAAACTATTTGTTTCTCTGAATCGAAGGTTAAAAACACAAAAGCATTGTACACAATTTAAACCAATCAATAGTGTGTACTTAACAAGAATAAACTGATGTGTTTTAGTGGATGAGTAATGGAGATATCACTGTGTAATCATTTGACAGTGAGGGGAATATATCCGATTTTATTATGAAAACTTTGAGACCGGAAAAACTGTTTTCACCCACGCTAACTTTACATGGAAGCTGCCCCATATACAGTACACGTTCTCCTGGCGAGACCTCAAATCATCTTCGTAACATCTATCAAACTATAGATCCTATACATCGACTGGACGTGGATTATAAGAGTACAATATACACTTCTCGCCAGAAATCGAATCAAAAAGCATTTTAATGACCAAACTATTCCACAATTTAGGATTTTCCAGAGAGGGTTATTTGTGAATAAACGTCCCTCCAGAGCGTTTGCAATGAACGGGCCGGGAGCATGTTGTTTCTTACACGACCACTAGAGCACCTCTAGTGGTCGTGTAAGAAACAACATACACTTTAAAACGTGTCTCTGGGTCGTAATAAGGGCTTGAACAATTGGCCTATATGGTCGATTTTTGTAGGAGGACAGGCTGACCATTACACATATTATATTGTTGAAATAGTAATGGCAAAAAAGACAAGGGAGACAAAACTTAGGAGAAAAGTCTTGAGAGTAAAAAGAACATGGACATTTCACTTTTCACTGATGAGGTTTCCAGACTGTTCTGTTCTCCAGTAGCCCTTCGTCAGACCCTTTCACACATGGGATAGATCACATTTAGCCAAAGAGAAAACACAGAGTGTCTGCAGAGATGGAATGAACTGAAAAAGAGCTTTACACACAGTAAATGTTACTAAAGTGTACTGATTTATAGACGTTTCTTATACACGTACAAAGTTATTTATTAAGCCCATTTAAAGACATCGATTAGTAGCAGAGCATTTATTTTTACATGTTTAACATTATTGTGTTACTTTTGCACATCTGCTGAGAGTATTTTGATGTCTGAGCATTGTTCCTCCACAGGGTTAAGGTTAGGGTTGACCCCTAACCCTAACCCTGACAGCCCTCATTTGAATGTATACATTAAAACATCAAATAAAGGTCTTTGTGCTGCTTATCTGAATACACCTCCAACCTGTTTCCTTCACCTGGGAACACCACATACTCAGAAAGTTAAGGAGTTTCAAGGTCAGGACGATACCAAAGTGTTGTTGCATTGGACATGTTATAATGTTCACCTTGGTGCTAGGTTCAAGGTCAGGAGAATCCCCAATAATCCAATAGTCCCCCCTGCTTACAGTCTTTGTGCTACACTATCTCTGTCCTACAGATGAAAGCTAGACCCTCCAGAAAAACGCGGGCTAAAATCCTTGATTATGCGATCAAACATGCAGGGTTTTATGTGATTTTATGCGGTGAAATTGCGGGAAGTTGTGAAATATGCGGAAATATGCTAAATATGCGGAAAAAATAAATATTGGGATGTCTTATTTATTTATTCTCTCTCACACACAACCAACCCCTTTACTATACAATTAAACACATTCAATGTTTATTTATTGTAAAAGCAATTGGGCTATTTTAATCACACTCTCTCTCTCACACACACACACACACACACACACACACACACACACACACACACACACACACACACACACACACACACACACACACACACACACACACACACACACACACACACACACACACACACACACACACACACACACACACACACACACACACACACACACACACAGTTTTAATTTCATGTTCGTTATCTGACCAGCTTCAATCTTGTAGGCTTCTCACCTCGTTTCTTGTAGCCCTCGAACGGGTTTTGGAGGTTGATGCCTCGGTGAACGTGAGTTGTTTGGCTTTCTTGTCCGCAGCAGCAGAAAGCATTTTCGAATGTTTGAATGAATCAAAGTGGGTCGTCACCGTCGATGTTCTCTTAATAACATTGTTATCCAACTGTGTGTTGGAGCATAATACTTATGCTCCAACACAGTTGCACGGGGTGCAGAATAGTTTCCCCCCACTTTCGTGCAAGACATCGGGGTACTGCTTTGCCCGGTCTTTAGCAGAAATGTTCGTCGGTAAATGAGATGGATTAGATTTTTTCATCTTGGTGTTTTCTCTCTCGTGTGAGCTCCACACGTTCACTCTACGGTGTTGTTTACCTTCTGTGATGTGCGAGCTGATGACGTTGCGTCATCATCATCATCACTTCACGTCAAGACGAGTTCACTTTTTTTCCCCTCAACTTTGTGTGGACAAATGCGGGGATTATGCGGTCTTTTGATAAATATGTGGCCTTTTAAAAATCTGCGCCATTTTGCTGATTATGCGGTAAATTCTGCGATCGCAGAATCGCGTTTTTCTGGAGGGTCTAGAAAGCAACACATGTTCCTTTGAATCAACATGTGTGTGTCTGTCTTTCTGTGTGTGTGTGTGTCTGTCTGTCTGTCTGTCTGTCTGTCTGTCTGTCTGTCTGTCTGTCTGTCTCTCTCTCTCTCGGTCTGTCTCTCTCGGTCTGTCTCTCTCTGTGTGTCTCTCTCCGTCTGTCCGTCTGTCCGTCTGTCTCTGTCTGTCTGTCTGTCTGTCTGTCTGTCTGTCTGTCTGTCTGTCTGTCTGTCTGTCCGTCCGTCCATCCGTCTCTCTCTCTCTCTCTCTGTCTGTCTGTCTGTCTGTCCGTCTGTGTCTCTCTCTCTCTCTCTCTCTCTCTCTCTGTCCGTCTCTCTGTCTGTCTGTCTCTCTCTCTCTGTCTTTCTGTCCGTCTGTGTCTCTCTCTCTATCTATCCTATCTCTCTCTCGTCTATCTCTCTCTCTCTCTCTCTCTCTCTCTCTCTCTCTCTGCTCTATCTCTCTCTCTCTCTCTA